TGCCAAGTTTGACCAACACATAGAATAATAAAGTAAAAACTGTGTGGTCGATGAAAGATGACAAAGTTTTAAGGGACAGAAGGAGTACTCCGTATAATATTTGGTAACATTTTTGTGACTCTAATTCATTCTTATATTATTATCTCTTTATTAACTCATTATCAATGACATAATTCAAATTTTATTAAAAACCACAACACTTTCTTCCATTCCAATATTAGGGGGACGGAGATAGTATATTTTAAAGATACAATTTTGAAAACTTTTGCTACATGTCATGTCATATAGCAAAAAGTAATAAAATCTCATATTTATTTTTAAAAACTTTTCTAGGTTCCCCCTAATTTATACTCCGTAATAAATCTGCATCTCTCTTATATGTAGTATTAAACTCCTTCCTAAGTTCTTACGAAGTATATTATGGGCGTGTTTGGCACTCAGCGGTTAGTGGATGACAGATATGTTAGCGGGTTGTCAATAGTACGTGGATTCAATCTGAGGGTTTGACTAGCGGAATAAATTGGCGGGTTGTTAGAAGATGTTTGGTAATTTAGCTGTTTGACCATAAAATTAGTAGAAAACGCTATTTTCAAAACGCCAACTCAAAACTCTCCTATTAGCAGCGTTTTCATTTCAACGTTTTCGTCCAAAAACGCTAGTGCCGAACCGCTGTTTACCAAACAACTTTTTCATCTATTGAAAACGCTGAAAGTGACCAAACCGCCATTTTTCGGCTGAAATGCCGTTTACCAAACATCCTCTATATCTCCTTGGTATATTAATATACTCCTTGATAGATTATACTCCACCAAAATAAGTAGAAAATTAGTGAGGATATACACCCAAATAAAATCTCTTATTTATTTTTAAAGTGTTACAAAAAATATACTATTGTATCAAAATTCATTACTCTTTATTATTTTTCATATGACATCAATATTGAATATACAAAAAAGAAAATTAATAGTTTAATAAAAAGTTGTTTAATGTGAAATATATTTTTTATTGTACTAGCTAGTTACAAAAAAATATTAATATTCATAACTTTTTATTATCTTTTATATGACACCAATGTTGCAAATGGTAATTGTCAAACATAATAGTGACTAACTTAATTTCAACATTAATACATAATTAAACAGCACATTAATGTCTAATCGTTACTTTTCCTAGCTGGCAGGTCGATCTGACTAGCAGGCCGGATGCTTGAGCTCCCTCTTGCTGGGCGGGAAGGTAGCTAGGCTCCCCACTGGCTGGAGGCAGCAGGCTCATGGTTGGGTCAGAAGGCAGGCTCCTTGTTGGACTAGAAAGCAGGCTCCCCGCAGGGCTGGAGGCGAACTCCTGACTAGGTTGGAAGGCAGACCTCCGGTAGGCCGTAGGCGGGCCTATGGTAGACAACATGTTTTGGGCTTCCGCTCTGCTAGACTTTTGGTCTGTTGGACTTTCGCTCCTTAATGGGCTTGATCGATTGGGCCAACTCGAGCTCTGGGTTGCTGGGCATGAACGGGCTGCTTGACGAGATAATGGACATGGGCTTGGCCCGCTGGTCCAGATCATGGACATGGACTTACAAGCTCAAATTCGGGGCCTGGACCGATTAGGCTCTGGACCTTGTCGTCCCATAACCCTACAAATATATATTAAAATACTTTGTACTTGTGTTCGCTATTCATTTTCAAAATATAAATAAAAATGACTTTGATATGAAAAATTGTGTAGTTTATAACATTTTAGCTTTAACATATTTTATACTCCGATCCGTTTCGACACAAAGCTAATAAATTATATTCCTTATGGTTTAAATGAAAAGACGTTTGGCAGTAAAAGTAGTACGAAGTATATTGCATTTATATGTATTTAATTAATTAGAGTATGGTGTACAATTTACAGCTCATTTAATTTGAATAAAAAATATAAACTTTATAACATTTTTACTGTCTTTTTATTTTTCTTTGATTATTTTATGTGATGTTGCAAATTTAAATCAATGGTAAAATTAACTTATGTGAGAGGTCACTATAAGAAATTATGAATTTTACGCATACACATATGTGTAGGTAAACATACATTCAAATGTGGAAAAACCATTTTACCCACACATAACTAAGTGTCACAATGTGTGGGTATCGAACCATAGAAAAAGGTTATTATCTACACATACAATTATGTGTGGATAATTAATTTTTTCACCTACACATGTTTGTATAGCTAAAGGAAAACAAATGAGATCACATGCACGTCGAAACATGTGTATTTAATTTTTTTTATCATAGACAATTTATATTAAATCAATAAAACATTTGCCAGCTGGCTGACAATACAATGAGAATTTTTATGGCTGACAATACAATCAGAGATAAAACAGGAAACAAAAAGATAAAAAATCTTCTGTCTTCCGTCCGCCCTTGAAACAAACTTAGAAACTATCACCTCTGTAGAAACAATAAGAATCGGTCCTATAATGGGCCAATGACAGGCAAACCGGACTTCTCATCACCTGACTTAGATGCAAAAAACTTTCTGTTAGGAAAAAAGAACACACTCAAAACAACATGTAAACGTTTGAAAGAAAAACACAAACAAAATAAAACGGAATTAAAACAGAATTCATTCATCTTCTTCCGAACTCTAGACTCTCTTGCACTCCATGATGGCGGCTCAGGAGGGGGACGATCCCCCGGAAGCGTCTGCTCCATGCAATCCGCATCATCATCCTCATCGAGTACCAGTTCATCGTCCTCAGTACCAATCTCCAAAACAACGCATTGCCCGATCAACTTTTCCATTAGTCCGGCGTTTCCAACCATGTTCGTTAGAGTGCCTCCTTGTCTCTGCTACGCTGCAAGGATCTTCGTCCCTATCTGCCGATTATTCTTTCGCTAATATGCAAAGTGATTTGCCCGTTGCCGCTGAAGTGAAGCCGCACGATCCCTGAAATGACAATCTGCGGAGAAACTTGAAACCGTAACGAGAGGGATGAACGCCATTAAAAAAATCAACCGGACAAGCAACACTGCCGCCGGAGAAACTATTCGAGCCTAGGGATAACCCTAGGCGCCGACTCGAGCTAATACGCTACTCTTTCTACAATTCTACCTATTGCGGTACTTAAGAAGTGTATTTAAATTAAAAATAGGTTTGGGTTTAATTGTTTAAAATGCCAAATTTACCACGAGTTTGCACGAGGTGCAGCGGCGGACGCATGAATTCCCGCTAGGAGGGGCAGCAGCAGGGCCGTTTTTTAGGAGGTTCAATATAGGTTATTCGGGACAGGGCCCCCAGATTTATGGGGCCCCAAGTTTTTAAATTTCTTTTAGTATTATATAGTGCGGAGTAATATTATATACGAAGTATTAATACTAATCTGTAAAATACAACTAGTAAGGGAAAAAATATATAAATTCATGATGTTTTCGTTGGTCCTTTTACTCTTTTAGTTCTTTTTTAATGAGTATTCATTTGTCTGTGTCAATTCTTTATATAAGGGTGTCAATACATTATGTACCCCGAGTCTTAACAATTAGTCTGATGATATCATTATTGATACTGATAAAAATAAGATAATGTGTAAGACAATGTGGATTGTTGATTTGGTGGTCTGTTTTCTGATTTCTGGAGTACGTCCTTGGGACATACTCCCTCCGTCCCCGAAAGAAGTTCCCCATTTGACTTTCACACACTTTTATGCAAGTAAACTTACCAGGGGGTAAATTTCACTGTTTGACACTGTTTCGACACTGTTTGACACTGTTTTGTACTGTTTTGATGTAGATAACTTTCCATGTAAGGAAATGGGAACTTAAATTAGGGACTTCCAAATAAGGAAAGTGAGAACTTCTTTCGGGGACGGAGGGAGTATAACCATAATAATATTAGCTTCTTAATATATGTACTACCTCGGTCCCATGTTATGTGTATTCTTTACTTTTGGCACAATTTTTAATAAATTGTTTGAAAAGGTAAAAGTTGTGGTTATGATTTGAGTATAGTAAAGTGAAATGTTGTGAACCACATATTTCTTTCCAAAAAGGAAAAGTTGACACTTATTTTGGGACAATCCAAAAGAAAAAGTAAGACATATAAAATGAGATGGAGAGAGTATCTTTCATCAACAAAAAAGGCAATATCACACTCTACTTTTAAGTTTTAAGTAGTACTCGGACCAATTATTTTTCGAATTAATGACATAGAGAACCAGTAATTTGACGAGGCTGATGCACGTCGGGTTCTGTACTTCTGTTCAGAATTGTTGTTGTCTACCTAATTCTGGATTTTTTTTATACACTCTAGCTGCTCATATATTCATATACGTAGTATAAACGTACAAGATATAACAGGTAACCTGCCTTATCAAACAATTGAACAAGAAACAAACCCAATTCATCAATAGAAACTAAAGTGGTCACATGTTTATCCATATACTTTAATTTAATTTTAACGGTATATATGTCTATATTTCATATTCTTATACTCCTTTCCGATGATTTTTTTATGCAAATTTATTTGTTGTAAAACACTAAAATTCAAAGAGAGTTAGATTGATGATGTGAATATATATAGTTTGAGAACCTTAAATTGAGATTGTTGGATTATGTAATCTTATCTTATTATGTAACGTAAAATGCTTTTAATTAAACTTGCGTCGAGGTGATTTTAATGCATGACATGATGACACGTTTATACAACTTTACTATAACACAAGTAACAATTTTACTTATGTATCACAGATATGTGTTGGCCAACCAACAATTGCAACTACAAGTCTACAAAAAAACCTATGTTAGTTAAGCTAACCCAATTAATTTGGTCAAAAGTACTTCGATATTATAAACTTATATACTTCATAAATAAACAAAAATCAAAGGTTGAGGATTGAGAAAAATCAAATTTGTCTGAAAGAAGTCAAACTCTTTGAGGTTTACTTGGGCACAGGAGTTACTATATATACATAGCTGGAGCTAATAAAACCATCCATCTTCATTATATTAATTGTTTCATGCATTATATTATAAGATGTTTCAAACTCTTTGCATGCCAGCTTATTCATCAAGATCGGACTATAAGTTAATAATGTGCGCAAGAGACCCATACTTTGTGGCCATATTTGTGCTTTTTGTTACTGGGTTGACCGGAAGTTTCATAGCTTGTTATGAAGATAGCAATAATAATAGTGGGGATTACTGGAAAATGGGAGCTTCCTTCATCTTTGGAGATTCTTTGGTAGACGCTGGAAACAATAACTACCTTTCTACCTTGTCCAAAGCTGACACTCCTCCTAATGGCATAGACTTTAAACCCTCAGGCGGTAACCCTACCGGCAGATTCACCAATGGAAGAACCATCGGAGATATTATTGGTAAGTAATTACTCCGTATATAACACTAACCTTTAATTTCGACGTCATAGTATATACACATATATGGTATATTTGGCACAACTAGCTGAAAAGACACTCTTGTGAACTTTTTAGGAACGGTTAGCTTTAATTTTAGTGACTAAAAAGATCGTAAAAAGAAAAGGTGGTAGATGTTTGGTAAAAAGCCGACTCTTTGATTTAGATCTGTTTGATATACAAGTTGTTAGAAAAAATTAATACTAAAAGTCACAGACTTTTCTCAGATGTTACTCCTTGTAGCATCTCAAAAAGATCTTTTATATTTTGAAAAAGCTCTTAAAATTAAATTTGTCATGTCAAATACACAACTAGAAACTTTTAGAGACTTTTAAACAGTACAAAATAATTAGGGCACAAACAGTACAAAATAATAGGGTACTTACTTATGTCATACCAAACATGCACATAGAATCATTTGCTTCTTTGATCATTGATCTGAATTGTTATTAGGAAAACTAGTACTTGCACATTCTTATGATATTTTCAGTTGGACCGTTTTTAATTCAAATCAGACCGTATCAGATTTTAACCAGACAAACTAGATCAAATCGGACAAGCTAAGACCAAACTTAGACAACCGTAAAATAATCATACTTGAGACATTTCTCAGCAAAGATAACCAAATTTTATAGTTTAGTCTAATTTGCTAAATGTATGATAGGTACATGTGTATTTTACAAATTTTATAATTGGGTAGGAGACGGGTAACAAATTCAAGTAAGAGTATCTCAATCATTCGTTAAACTGAAATGATACCACAAAAGTTACAAATGTCAGTGTTGGCCTTATTTTAAAAAAGTAAAGGAAGCTAAAATATGATTAATGGTTTTCACATTCTTTATCATATTTGCACGTGTTTCTTTTACTCCGTATATCATATACGGTATATGTTAGAAACAGGGCCGTCTAATGAATTTGGAGGCCCCGGTTCAATATGTAAATACGGGGCCCCACATTAATATAACATATTTTTTTAAAAAACTCAATCTAAATACTTGTACTCAAATTAATTGAATATTGCTTAAAAAATGTACTAAAAGAGTAAAAGGATCAACGAAAAAATGATGGGTCTATATTTTTTCCTTACTTGGTAACTCTAGTAATATAATATTATTATATAATATTAATAAATTTTTAAAAATTTGGGGCCCCATACATTTGGGGGCCCTGTTCTGGATAACCTATTGAACCCCTAAACAACGGCCCTGGTTAGAAACTTAGAGACAGAAGCTAAAATATGATTAATGGTTTTCACATTCTTTATCATATTTGCACATGTTTCTTTTACTCCGTATATGTTAGAAACTTAGAGACAAGTTAATGAAAATGTGTTCGAATACAAATCTATTGTAATTTTTCAGACATGATGTTTTATTTTAAAATGCCAATATGATGATGTCAGTATCTTATAATTTCGTTTCGCACGAAAAATTAATTTTTGGATTTTATGTCATATTTCTCCTAACTTTTTCTACTTTTCTTTTCCTTTCTGTTTTGTACAATACTTCACCTCCCCATATAACTTTGTCATAATTCTTTTTTATTTTCTAAATTTTTTTGACACTTTCCTCTTTTAAGCGGCAGATAATTTGTGATTCTTATGATATTTCTCCTTTTGACACAAACTTCAACCACACAATTTTTATTTTATTTCTCTCTTTGAGTAGATAAAGTTACTTTTCTAGCTTCCAAACAAGCTTTCAAATGGGAAAGTCACAGAGAGTAGAAACTAGGTAGCAAGTATAAACACTAAAATGAACATGAATACATGAGGTCCCAATATTCAGTCTCAGACCAGACCAGACTTAAACAAACCAGACCAGACCAGACCAGACATGACTTTCATAGTTATAAAATACACAAAGACCCGACGTTTACCAGACCAGACCAGACCAGACCAGACTAGTTCAGACCAAATCAAACCAGACCAGACTTAAACAAACCAGACCAGACCAGACCAGACTTAAACAAACCAGACCAGACCAGACCAGCAAATTTCAGTAAAAAAGAAAACATCCATAATTACGGATTTACGGAGTATAACTTTTAAAAAACGAACGATTATGAAAAGAATCTCCAACTCCAAGTATTAATTGTCAAAGAAATTACAATACAAACGTTTGTTAACTTTTTGTATTGTATCAATTAACTTGTTGGCTGTCGTGCAGGAGAGGGACTGGGACAGTCTTACTATTCAACGCCATTTTTAGCTCCAAATTGTAGCGGAAAAGCCATACTACACGGTGTCAATTACGCATCGGGAGGTGGTGGAATTTTGAACGCAACTGGATCCATATTTGTAAGCAATTAAACAAACACCAATCTCTTACACACCAAAGTATTTCAATTCTTTTGTCCTTATTTTATACCACACATACACTGATACACCTATGTCCTTAATTAGAAACTTGTGGTTGAAGTGCATGAAGCATTTTTACATTTTATCCGCGATTCCACACACAATGGTGTATTAATTATGGAAAATTACATTTTTGCACAAAATTAGTACACAAATTGTACGCACTTCTAGTTGATTGTAGTATACAAGGTAATTCGTTAAAAAAATCTTTGTCTGTCAACTGCATGTATGGCTCTATATACACACGCTTTGTACAAATTTTGTGCATAGTACTACTATATTTGTTAAGATTCAGGGTTCCATCCTAAAAGGTCAACCTGATAGGAGGAGTAACCCAAAGCCTTATGTAGTGTTTTATTGTTTTATATCTTTCCGGTGTGGGACAAATGTTTCAACACTCCCCCCAGCCCGAACCGGGCTGAACAATATCGCGGTGTATAAACGGGCCAAACAAATCCTTAACAAGCTACCCTTAATCATGGGTGCTAAACAAGCCGTCAAACCACAACCGGAATTGGCTCTGATACCATGTTAAGATTCAGGGTTTCCGGTTTCATCCTAAAAGGTCAACCTGATAGGAGTAACTCAAAGTCTTATATAGTGTTTGATTGTTTTATAGCTCTCCGGTGTGGGACAAATGCTTCAACAATATTAGTATGACAAGAATTTCCCATTAATTAGAATTTACGTGGTGTGGGCCAACTTTAAACAACGATAATATAGGATCGGATTTTCCCATTGAGTGGGTGTAATTCTTGCAGGTGAATAGGTTGTCGATGGATATCCAAGTTGATTACTTCAATATAACAATGAGAGAAATCAATAAATTGCTTGGTGCCTCAAAGGCAAGAGAATTTATCACCAAGAAAGCCATATTTTCCATCACCCTTGGGTCCAATGATTTTCTCAACAATTACTTACTTCCGGTAGTTTCTATTGGTACAAGACTCAACCAAACTCCGGATGCCTTCATTGACCAGCTTATTTCTCATTTTAGGGGTCAACTTATGGTATATAATCCAATTATTATTTCTCTTAATTTACTTTTTGTAGGTAAGAGTGTTTTAAAAATAAGATATTGGGCATGTTTGATATTTAGCGCTTAGCGAACATGAAATTAGCGGGTTGTCATAAGATATTTGATAATTTAGCTGCTTGGTTATAAAAATTAGTACAAAGCGACATATTTCAAAATGCTAACCCAGAACTCTAGTATTTGCAGCGTTTTCATTTCATCAGTTTCGTCCAAAAATTCTAGGTTTGAACATCTATTTAGCAAACAGTTTTTTGGCATATTGAAAATGTTAAAATGAATCAAATCGCAGTGTTTTGGCTGAAATGTCATTTCCAAACACCCCATTATTATATCTCTCTTCACTGCACATAAATGACATACCGGTATTTTTTTCATTTTAAAACTACTTTCAAGCTAAAAGATACTTCAATGGTAAATTGAACATAAAAGTTTAAAAATGGAAGTTTTATGTTTATAACTACTCCATCTGTATCATTTAATTTATTCTTCTAACTACCCATCCGTCTATACAGTATACAGAAATTTGATAATGTTTTAATTTCCATATGCAGAGGCTTTACCGATTGGATGCAAGGAAATTTATTATAGGAAATATTGGCCCTATTGGTTGCATTCCTTACCAAAAGAATATTAATCAGTTGAGGGACAATGAATGTGCAGAATTAGCAAACCAGCTTGCTCTCCAATACAATTCCCGTTTGAAGGACTTGCTGAGTAATTTGAACCGGAGTCTCCCTGGTGCCACATTTGTACACTTGAATGTTTATGATCTTCTCATGGAAATAATCATAAACCCCCACAAATACGGTGAGATTTTTTTTGTTCTCTCCTATGCAAAAATTAAAACATAAGTCCCTTCAAGTTTCAACATATAATATTACAAATATTCTTAAGTACCGAGTAAAAAATGTGATTTCCCTAAATAGGAGTAACATATTTTTCCAACACTTATTCTCATACAATTTTTCTATTAGTTGGGGGTGTAGAGAACTTTCATGGAGTTTAATACACCCCCACATTTAATACTCCCCAACTAACAAATGAGGGTTTAAGGATGACAATAGTCTACTCATATGGGATTTGACAGTAATTCTCGCTTTATCAATTTCATCATTTGCATTGTCATTTTCAACTTTTAATCATTTTCAATTGAAATCCATTTTATTATCAAACACTTATTCTCATACATTTTTTTCTATTAACTCATACATTTGATTCTTCAAGAAAGAATTACATTTCATCTTCATGATATTTCACCAATTGGATTTGTTATTATGAGATACAGCTCCATGAAAGTTCTCTACACCCCCATCTAATCTATTAATTAGTTGGGGAGTATTGAATTTGCAAAACTAACCCTCAGCTCATACATAACTTTGAATGTCACCATTCGCATCAGCTTTTAATTAATTAGTACTCTGTATAAAACTACGACTACAATTGTGCAGGATTTACCACAGCCACTATGGCTTGTTGTGGAAACACAGGCGGGCAATATGCATGGATAGTTCCATGCGGACCAGCATCAAATATGTGTCGAGATCGCGACAAATATGTATTTTGGGATCATTACCACCCGAGTGAGGCTGCTAATATCCTTATTTCCAATAAACTTCTCCAAGGAGATCCTAAATATGTATCTCCAATCACCCTTCTTCAACTTCGAGACTTATAAGTGTTGGAGGTATTGGTCCTACCAAGGCCTCCCTTCCACTTTATTATTGACTTGCACCCCATGTTTACTCCCACTTTGGCACCTCTTTATTTGAATCTCTCCTAACCAATAATATGGCCATTTTTGACTTATGTGGAGTGACCCCTTTGAGCTGTCCTATGCTGCCCTCCTTGTCTTTGCATCACATGTGAGTGTCCTTGTGTCTACCAGCCTATTATTTAGTAGCTTTGCTTCTCCCTTGTTGAGGTAGCCTGCGTGAAATATTAGAGAGAGCAGTGCCCTTCTTCTTCTCCATTTCCTTTGTGTGAGAGTGTGAGAGAGAATACCTTAGTGGTAGAGAAGAAGCTTGGAGTTGTGTTGTGGTCTAGCCTAGGGTGGTGTGTGAGAGTATAGCAAAAGGGTTGGAGACCTGAGCCGGAAAGAAATCGACTCCCAACAGTGGTATCAGAGCTTGTGTTGTCGTCGCCGTCGATTTTGCCGGCTTCCGCCGTCCACCGCCTTCCGCCGCCGTCCGCCGCCGCCCCGCCCGCCGCCGATTCGAGGTCTGGGAGGTCTCCAGCTCGTAAGCCCGTTGATTCGCAGTCTGAGAAGCCATCGTTGGTGCTTTTTGTGCCCAAATCCGTCCGTCGGAAGTCGCTGAAATCATTCGCCGCTGAAGCCTCAGTCCACCTGGGAGTCGTCGCCGGAGAGAGAGTTCGTCGTTCGTCGCTGGTTTGCTGAGCTCGAGGCCGGATCTGGAATCCTTCGCTGAAGCCGTCACTGGAGGTTGCTGGCCTTGGACTCCTGGACGCAGAAAGCGAAGCACAAGGACGAAGGTTTTGGGTTTCTAGGAGTTGCTGCGCGCATTCACTGGAACAAAAGCTGAAATTCAACGGAGGTGTACCTGATTGACGTGGAGTTGCTGGGAGTTGGAGTCGCACCTGTACGCAGAAGGATAGCAGAGGAAGGAAGTAGCTCCTTGCTGGACTTTGGGCTGCTCATTTGTTGGGCTGCTGGACCTGAAGCTTGAAGTCTTGGGCCGGACAGTGCTCCCAATCAAGATTGCTGGACCTGTAGCTGAGAACTAAGCTGGTCAACTGTTAGTCAAACTCGGTCAACGCGGTCAAAAGGCAGTCAACAGTTCATCAACTCCGAAAAATCCCAATTTTTTAATTGGGTGGGTAAGGTCGAAACGCCTCTCCTAGGGTTTCGCTTCGGTATATTGACTTTTATCCCTTTTATCGCTTTTGTAGTGATTTTTAGTCTTTTATTGTGTAGAAATTATGTTTTAGGTTTATTACTGCTTTTAAATTGATTGAATTGTTGTATTGTGTTTGTGCTGAAAATTTATTATTTATTTGTGCTTATACGGAAGAACAAGGGGTTTGAAGTTGAGTTTGGTGCTCATTAATACTCCCCATGTGTTCGTGCTAGTTGCTCCGTATAGTTGTAGCCTTATAAATATTTAAATTGTTTTTCAGCAAAATTTACATTTTCTTTTGTTGCTTATTTTTCTCTGTGAAAATGTCTGCTTATAATCAGTATGGTATGGCTCCATTTAATGGAAAATCTGATTTTAGCATTTGGAAGCAAAAAAATTAAATGTATTTTAATACAACAAAAATGTTTTAAAGCAGTTGGCGAAACCTATTTAATTTCTGACACGGAAGATAAAAGGGCTGAAATGAATGAAAATGCATGTTCTGTGATTTATTTGAACTTATCTGACTCTGTGATTAGAAAAGTTGGAATTTTAGAGAGTGCTAAAATTCTGTGGAATAAATTAGATGAACTGTATACCGAAACCTCTTTGCCTAACCGGATATTTTTACTTGAAAAGTTCTTCAAATTTAGACTAGATATGTCTATAGATATTGAAGAAAATCTAGATGTTTTTACCAAACTTATTTCGGATATTAAGTTGTGTGGTGATAAACATATAGATGATTATTCCCCTATTGCTCTTTTAAATGCTATTCCTGATTCCTTTAGTGATGTGAAATCTGCTATTAAGTATGGTAGAGATAATGTGACTCTTGACATTGTGGTAAATGGTCTTAAGAGTAAGGAATTAGATTTAAAACAGATGGGTGAGGGTAGAAAATCCGAGGAGGTTATGCATGTGAGGGGTAGAGAAAATAATAGTAGACGACATAGATCTAAGTCTAGGTCTAATTCGAGGCGTTGCTATTATTGTCACGAATCTGGTCATTTCATAAGAGACTGTCCTAAATCTAGGAAAAATGAGCATAGTGAGCATGCTAATTTGACTACGTGTGTAGATGATTTAGGTGATGTTTTTATGATGAAAAATCTATGTGATTATGACTATTTGAGTTCTGTGATATCTGATTCTTTGGGTAAATCAGATTGGGTGGTAGATTCTGGTTGTAGTTTTCACATGTCCCCTTTGAAATATGTTTTTTCAAACTATAGAGAGATTGAGCATGGCTTTGTGTCTTTAGCAAATAAGAAGAAATGCAATGTGCTAGGAATAGGAGATGTATGCCTTAGGTTTTCTTCTGGTTATGTGCTTACTTTGAAGAATGTTAGGCATGTTCCTGAGCTATGCTGTAATTTGCTATCTTGTGCTTCTCTTGAAAATGTGGGTTTGAAGGGAAAATGGGGAAAGGGAATCATGAAAGTTGTGAAGGGTTGTTTAGTTGTTTTCAAAGCTGAGATGAAGAACAACTTGTATGTTTGTCATGCTGAACCCGTACTTGATTCTGTGATTTATGTGCAACCCTGTGTGCTAGGAAAACAGTCTAGAGTTGGTTTTCCTGATCTGCCTAAGTGTACTAATGTGCTTGATTGTATTCATGCTGACTTGTGGGGTCCTTATAGTGTTTCCACTCATGGTGGGAAAAATTATTTTCTGACGTTGATTGATGATTTTTCAAAGAAAGTGTGGGTTTTGTTGATTGAGAATAAATCTGAAGTTTTTGATAAGTTTAAAAACTGGAAAACCCTTGTTGAAAAACAAACCGGTAAGAAAATTAATTTTTTAAGGACCACTGTCAATTTTGATTTCTGTGATAGTCAGCTTGGTGATTTATGTGATACTTGGGGTATTTCTATGCATAAATCTTTTCCCTCCACACCCCAACCGGATGGGGTTGCTGAGAGGATGGTTAGAACTTTATTAGAGAGGGTGAGGGCTATGTTAGCTTCATCTGGGCTCTCTAATAAGTTCTGGGGGGAAGCTATTTGTTATGCTGTTGATTTGATTAATCTGTCCCCGTCTGTTCCCTTAGGAGGGAAATGCCCTGAATCTGTGTTCATGGGCAAACCACTTAATTTGCCAAATTTGAGAGTGTTTGGTTGTGCTGCTTATGTGAATCGTGTGAATGATAAATCTGAACCTAGGACTAAGGAATATGTTTTCTTAGGATATCATGATTGCATGAAAGGTTATAGGCTTTGGTGTAGGAGTGAAACTTGTTTCAATGTGTTGATGTGTAGAAATGTCATTTTTGTTGAAAATGAATTTCCTTGCCTGCTTGTTTCTCCTGATGTTGCTCCAAATGAGGTGGAGCATTTGCCTGTTGAATCTCATTTGCCTGATGTTCATTCCGATTTACTTGTTGAAACCGAACCCAAATTTGTGGATGAAAATGATTTTCATGTTGAAAATAAAGAAAATAATATTTCTATTAAGGTGGAGCATGATATGAATGTTGTGTGCAATATGCTTGAGTTGCGTGATTGCCATGTTATTAGAGATAGAGACATTAGGAAGCATGTGAGAAATAATATGTGCAATGTGTTTGACTATATTTCCACTGAGTCTGCTTTAAATGTGCTTAATTCTCTTTTAATTAAAATCTTTGTGATATTTGGTATGCTATTTTCTTTGTGTTTTGAAAATGTGATACCATGTGATTATGTGAGCTCCGCCTGTGCTAGTTATAGAAATAATATTGTTTCTTTTATTTTCTTTGTACTTGCTTTGTGTGGTTGTTGGATTAGTTGGAATCCCCAACTTCTCCCGGATGCTTGCTTGCGTGGTCTATTAACATGTGTTGTGCTTGTTAATAGTTTTGTGATGGTTTTGGTTCTGAACTCGAGGACCGATTGGTAGAGTTCAGTCCATCGTGAAGTGGGTTTGCACGGTAAGCTTGGTCCGAAAGGGAACTTTGGTTCTCATATATTACTTGTATGATCGCAATGATGTACTTGTAATAATCCGGCGATGATGAGTCTCCTCACAACTTTGTATTGCTACTCTACACCACCTAGGACCAATAAGGTGGAGAATGTTGGAGGTATTGGTCCTACCAAGGCCTCCCTTCCACTTTATTATTGACTTGCACCCCATGTTTACTCCCACTTTGGCACCTCTTTATTTGAATCTCTCCTAACCAATAATATGGCCATTTTTGACTTATGTGGAGTGACCCCTTTGAGCTGTCCTATGCTGCCCTCCTTGTCTTTGCATCACATGTGAGTGTCCTTGTGTCTACCAGCCTATTATTTAGTAGCTTTGCTTCTCCCTTGTTGAGGTAGCCTGCGTGAAATATTAGAGAGAGCAGTGCCCTTCTTCTTCTCCATTTCCTTTGTGTGAGAGTGTGAGAGAGAATACCTTAGTGGTAGAGAAGAAGCTTGGAGTTGTGTTGTGGTCTAGCCTAGGGTGGTGTGTGAGAGTATAGCAAAAGGGTTGGAGACCTGAGCCGGAAAGAAATCGACTCCCAACAGTAAGTTTTATATTATTTGGTTGCACATGATTTATAAATTCTTCTAAATTTCTTGTGTTTTATTAAAATTCACTACTAGGAAGTATACGTTTTGTAACTATAATTACCTTACGTACAGTAGTTGTCTGAAATAATATATACTAAAAGTATCCCAATGAATTATTGTATTATATTTAGAGAAAAGATGGTTCCTATGTTGGCTCGATAGTTCATCGGTGTTTGATTTGAGCATTTGATGAGGTCGATATATAGATATGCTCAAGTATATATATCGATCTAATTTATGCTTGTTAACAAATGTGTGCTCATATCATTTTATTAGTACCGTAAACTTTCACAAAAGTAATACTCCCTCCTCAAGCCACTACTAGAAAAGTGCCTTACAGTGACACTAAATTAGTGTCACTGAAAGTTTCTGTGACACTAAAAAAGTGTCGGGAAAAGTGTCGGCTAGTGACACTAAACAAAGTGTCACTAAAAGTGTCGCAAATTTGTGACACTATTATGTCGTATAAAGTTATGACACTATGGTATCACAAAACTTTCTGACACACTTGTATCATGAAAACATACATGATACATTGATTCCAATAAATATATAAATAAACGGAATATATTATTTAATTAAATATAAATAATAAATAAATAATTAAAATTTTAAACAATTTTATTTATATCTCAAATTCTCACATAAATGTGAATGTGAATGTACATACATAATTCATAGGGGCATACCCCGAACCAATAAGTAATAAACAATAACAAAACGCTAAGAAGTCTGCTAAGAAGTCTAACTTTACACCATGCTTCAACAGAACCTTCAGATTTCTTCCTACATGTAGAATTTGTAGATACCACATTTTTCTCATGCAACATTAACATTAGGCTGCAAAAATGATGAAAATAAAAATGTGCTCATTATCACAATATACAAGTCTCATATCAAAAGTAACATTATCAAATCTACATCATAAAGTCACATATATTAATCCATATAAGTACGGAGTAACTATTAACATGGAATAACCTTTAAAACTTATTTTGAGAACCTTTTTTTTAAGATTTTGATCAATAAAAATCATAAAGCGCAATAAATGCATGGAACAATGTAGTCAATGAAGATGGAGCATGATAAACAGAGTCTACTTTTGATTCCAAGAAAGAAACGTACTTATCAAGTAGCTAGGGATATGAGAACTTCAAGGGTAATCACATACTGCTCTATAGCATCAATCTGGTGCACATACTCTATCAAAGCTACCACCTTTTGGAATTAAGCAGCTCAACAAAAACTCTTAAGCTGTAAACTGTGTCACTTATCAGATATGCTGGGAGCTAACTAAGATATAGAGCAAACCATCAAAGTTTTTTTGGCAACAAAAACAACTACAAAAAAAATTGTATTATTGGTGATAAAACCTCAAGCAATAGATAATTATACTTTTAGTGTACTATTTCAAAAAATATTTTAAAGACATTGAATATAATAATCTAACATATTATACTCATCATGTATTTAAATGGATTTCATCACCTTAAAGGTACTTGATCTTGTCAAACTTAATGATTTCTAGAAAAAGACTATGTATACTAAAAGAATGAGGAAATGGAAGACATAAAGTCTCGTATATTGGTGCATATAAATACAAAGTAACTATGAATTTGGAAGAACCTTTAAAACTTATTTAGGGGGCCTTTTTAGTAAGACTTTGATTAACAAAAACTAAATTTAAAGAACAATAAATACAATGATCATTGTAGTCATGAAGATGAAACATGATAAACAAAGTCTACTTTTGGTCTGAGTAAAGAAACATACTTATCAAGCAGGGATAGAAGAACTTCAAACTCAGTTACCTGTTGCTCTATAGCATCAATCTGATGCATATACTCTTCCAAAGCTATTGCTTTTGGACTTGAGTTGCTCAACAGAATGTTTTAGGCTGGAAATTGTATCACTAAAGCCTGTATATTATTCACCAACCATTGTACTCATTTTCTCAAAAAATTCAAGCAATCAACAACAAGAATAATATTACCTGAGATGGTTTTTCAAGTGATGGTGTGAAAGTCAATATCTGTATTAGTGATTCAAGCTAAACAACAACCTGATGTTTTTATATAGAAAAGTTAGAATATAAACATGAACCCATGTAAATAAGGTATATGAACAAACTAGGAGTTATAAATTCAATGAACAGTTAAAAGGCGAGATAGTTTTTAATTGTGGAGAATCTAATTATGGCATTTCACAATCAAATCTACCAGAGATCTAAAGAAGATACAAAGCAAATAACGGACCTCCGGAATCGCACCACGGCTTAAACTAAAGGAGAATTCAATTGCTGTTTTTAAGATTCAAATAGGAGTAAAGAATAAAAATTGAAAGCAATAAAGCACAAGAGATAAACAGACTGTGTTCCTACCACCAAACTGGTAAACCCAGAAGAAGAAGACATAGAAGAGAGATCCTCGATTCCACTTGTATGTTTCCAAAATCCTCTATTTCTTATGCGCCAATCCAAATGCCCCAATAGCGGGATAGCTTTGATTGGGCAGCAGAAATAACTACAAATTGCAAGGTCGATGACAAATAGAAAACACATTTTTAGGAGATATGACAGAAGATCAAAATGATAGTTTATATGACACGAATGGAGGTATTTCATATGTACTATAGCTTCTTACTCCATAAGATATACAATAAATTTAGTATTCAATAGAATTTCCATCGATTATATACCCGAAATTTGAAGAAGGCGCTATGGCTAAGATTCGTTGGGAACTTGACACTTGGGTTCAAGTTCAACGAGAATCGCTCGAGCATCTATGAGCTAGGGTTCTGAGGAGAAGAGTGGCCGTGACGCCTGGCCGTCTCGATTGTCCACTAAACAGTGACCAGAGTGAAGAGGATGAAAATCTGATAATCTGAGATATGTAAAACTAGGGCTATACCTATATATTAGATATGAATTTTTTAAATGAAAATCTGAAAAGTTAATATTTGAAGTCTCATGTGATACCAGATCTGTTTCTTTTTCTTTCATCCCAGTGATCTGGAAGATCTATCTTTCTTTCTTTGACCTTCTCCTGAAGATTTAAGGTGGACTTCTAACGATTGACCTTTGATTGAAAGTTCTGAAGATCCAAGTTGGATGATCTGAGCAACCATGGCGGCCGATGAACTCCCGGCGAAGGAGATAGCTCGAAGCCAGTTAACTGAACCTCGCCTATAAATCTGGTTTTGTCAATGAAGGACAGCAACGAGATAACATAGTGTCGATAATCGAAGCTTGTTTCCCGACTAGATCTGTTTCCTCTGCATGCCATCGGGAGCGACTCTGGAAGCGGCTGGCGATTTTCTTTCTTGCCATTGATAAATTTCAGACTTTAGGGCTTGGGTCCTTTCTAAACTTTTTGTATGATTTGGTAGATTGGATTAACTATGGATTTCTCTTCTTGTAATTTTGATTCTTGAATGAGAAGCTGAGGATTCATAAAAAGTTAAAAACGTATACGGGTATATTAAATGCCTCTAAGTTAATAAAAAAGTAAATTTAAATACATTTATGTTGGAGTGTCACTAACATTCACTCATGCAGCAGTATTACGAATTGCTGACATATAAGTATCAATAAATGTCTTTGGGATATTCATAGTGTCACTAAAGAAGTGTCACTGTAAGCTACTTTTCTAGTAGTGAGCTATTCGTAATGTCAACTTTTCTTAGTCAACATATATAGTTTCACTTTATCTACTTATTTAACATATCAAGGTTTTATGTATTCTAATTTGGACTTTGTGAACTTAATAATTAAATTTGTAAATTCGTAAATTTTACAAATGCTAACTTTGAATGAGGTTTATAACCTAATTAGGTTTCGAGTATGTAAATTTTAATTATTATGTAAGAAGTATAACTGATTTAACTTCCAACGATGATGATTTAACTTTGTTGTCAGTCAACTTTAAAATCCGTAAATTGCAATTCAATTTGGAACTGTGGAAGTATTGAATAACAATATCAATACAAAGACTAAAGAAAATAACAAATTCAATATTGATTTGTCAAATATTGATACGACTATTTTTTATGGCTGCATGTCAACATTCAAATATCTTGCAACAAAATGACTTTGAAAAGGGTTTTGTAAGAAAAATTCAACTAGTATATATTTGTCAAATTCGAGCCAAAATTTATGCAAAAGCTGTCATGTAAAATTTAGCATTGAGTCTTGACAAAACAAGTCAATTTGTAATTAACAAGTGTTAGGTCCTTCACTTTTTTTTTTTGCAATGCAACATAATGAAATATAGATTTGTAAAATTATATTATTAAATGGATTTGTACTAGACCGAAATTCTGATCGTTTATAATTAATTGGGGCGATTCAGTTCTAATCCAAATTTTGTGTTTTGCTTTCTGGATGTTGAATATTATTGTTTAGATATCCTATTGGATGTCCATATTCCAATAGCTAATATTGGATGTTTTGTTTTATCTAAATTAAACTGAAAATTTTGACTGTTTTATCATTAAAGTAATTCAATTCTAATCCAAATTAGTGTTTTGTTTTGGGGTTTTTGTGTGTTTTTATATATAGTTGATTTTTGTATATCCTATTACTCTATTAGATGGCCCTAATCAATAGTGGAATCCTAAAGAGATGGATAAATTTGTAAATTTAGTCTTGTACCTTTTGATTGTGTTCATTATTATTTCTGAAACTTACTCGATGGAAGATTTAGTCTTATTATCAAGAAATCTGTACAACTCAGGGACTTTTTCACCGTAAAGCTAGTATAGTTTCGATAAAAAAAAAAAATGTACTGAAAATATGCCGTTGGCGTCGGCAATAGAACTAAAAAGTGGCAAAATTGCACAAATAGGACTACATTTTTTAAATTCCCTTAATAGGACTATTTATGTGTGTTTGGCCAAATATACCCTTGTAACTTGTGAAATGTTTTAATTAATAATAAAATCATACAAAAATAAT